TTTCTGTACCACTGAGCTTTCTGGACCAACTCAAGCGTTCGGGAATGGGGAATATAGTTTTTAATGACTGTCTTTTGAACTACTTCCAATCTGGGAAATGGGGAAAAGATTGAGCCATACATCCCATATATATGGAGTGGCTCCACAAATGACTTTCTCTGTTTCCTATTTAACATATACATGAAGCTTTTGGACAAGGTCAGGTATTGGGTTAGATATCATCACTGAGCTGATGAATGCCAGTTATTTATCTCAACTCGTGATGACATCAAAATATGCATGTTTGTTTGTACATATGTATGCTTAAACTGATTTATATAGTCATTCACCTCACTAATGCAACTGCGGATGGCTAGTAAGTTTTAAAAATACAATATAAAAATACCTATCATGACCAAGTAAAGCACACAGCTGCCGAAGATATTATATATCAACAATATAGGCTGTCCTACAGAACACCAGTTATTGTTCTGAGCCCATGCTTGGGAAACAGAAAGATCTTCAAAGCTTTCCAACACATGGTCGGAGTGCAAACCTATAGGTAGGCAGTATGTTCCACAAGGCAGAAGCAGTTATGGATAAGCCATGCTTCCAGAGTCCTGCTATACAACAATCCCTGATTGTAAGGTACAGAGCATGCCTATCCTGCCTGACCTAATGGATGGGTAGAAACACTGGGAGCAAAGCGGTCTTCAAATCTCTTGGCCCCATGCCATCTAGGGTTTTATATGTAGTAACCAGCACCCTAGAAGCATATTGGGAGCCGATACAGCTTGCAGAACAAAGGTGTAACATGGTGTAATTTGACACACGGTCATAGAATGGCACATTCATAATTGTCCATGCAACCACATTTGGAACCAATTAAAGTTTCTGGATGTTCTTCATAGGCAGCTTCATGTAATTCACTTGGAAAGGGACCAAGATATGGTCCAGTGCCTTGATTCAGGAGAGGTTCAATTAAAGTAGTTCAAATCCCCACCCCCAGGCCATGACTATTTCTTACTTTTCAAACAGGACTTGTGAGCCAGGATAACCCTGAAATTGTATACTGGTTCTGTCTGGAGTACTGTAACCCTATCCATAACTACTGTAAATATAGCAATTGATCAAATTCAAGAGATCCTAAAATTCAAAGCCATTCCATTTTGCTAGGGTTAAATTGAAGCCTGTTCTTCCAGATCTGCATAGCCCCCCAGGCACTGGAACCAAACCTTTACAGCAGAGATGTTCAAACATGGCAACTTTCAGACTTATGGTCTTTCAGTTCCCAGAATTCTGGGAGTTGAAATCCACAAATCTTAAAAGTTGCCAAAGTTGAACACTTCTGCTTTATGGCATAATGTGACTGGCATAGGACAGACATATAGCAGAGCATTATTAACATATTGATGATACCTTACCTATCACCCTTCATGTAGATGTGAGAGTCAATCTCTAAAGCATCCAACACAAGAGACCCATGGAGCAGATGTGTCCTCCCCATCAACATCAGCTGGGGCTGACTTTAAAGAAGCAACCTAATATTGTGTTCCCAACTCCTAACCCTTGGAGCCAGAGAGATGTCTGTTGGTATCAAAACACACTGAGATCAAAGAGAGCAAAGATAGCTGCACTCTCCCCATCCTGCTCCTTCCATTGGTCATCCAGAAGTGTGATCAATGCTATTTTATTCCCATACTGTGGCTTGAAACCAAATTGAAACTGGTTTGGATAATCTGCTTCATCCATTGACCTCTGAATCTGCAAGGTAGCCACTTTCTCAACAACTTTCCCTAAAAAGGGAAGGTTAATGACAGAATCCAGTTATCCAAAAATTGTCTAAAGTCTAGGGATGGCTTCTGAAGAAAATGATGGCGGAACCCTCCCTCCAGAATGAAATCACATCACCCAGACTCAAGCACATGTCTCCTGGACAGCCTTGACTAGTTAGGAGATATATTAATCTAATATCAAGGTGACTAAGGGTACCACCCCAAGAAATTGCATCTAGATGGCTAAAGTTACAGCCCCTGAGCTAGGATGTTGTTAATTCAACTCTACAGAGTCTGTACCAAAGTCAGAGTCCAATGTGAAGTGAATTTTCAATATGTGGATGCAGTGGGGGTGTGAGAATCAAACAGGTTTAGGCTCAACACTAGAAAGGCGAAATAACTATGGATTATGGGACTACCAGGCTTCAGATTTTGCTAGTTCAAGATGACGACGTAATACCCAAGACAGAATTGCTGCAGAATTCAAGAGTCCTTATATATATGCCTAGCTCCTATTGGTAGGCCTCTGTGCAAAATTAATATTGTGCCTGTTCCTGGATTGGGGGATTGTATTCAGTCATTCATATCTTCAGTAGCTCTAATTTGGTCTACTGCAACATGCTGTGTATGAGGCTGTCCAGAATTCAGCAGAACAATTATTATGAGTACATCTCTGTACATCCATGTAACACTGCTACAATGTGAGCTGCACTATTTATCAATGGGCTTCTGGCTTCAGTTCAAAGCATTAATAGTCACCTATAAAACCCTTCTTGGCACAGGATGGGCCATGAGTGTTTATGGGACTGCCTTTCCTGTAAGAACCAATAGGCCTGGCATTCTGTAGATCCCATAAAAACACATCAATTGTAAAAATATGAGTTGGGCATCTGGCCCCAGCATCTTATGCTTTATGTTCTTCCTTTGTTAGATGTCTTTAACTCGTGTTGATCACCCAGCTACCTAGAAAGTGGACAATCATATTAATGAAATAATAGAGTAATTCTTTATTGTTCTGAAAGTCAGTTCAAACTGTTATATTTCAAGACAAAATATATAACATTTTCATTGAATTTTAATGGCCTTAAAAATTAATAACTTTTACATCATCTACTTTAATAGTTCCATTTTTTTAGCCTGTGACGTGATCCAGTACATTAAATGGATTGAGTGGAAGCATTTTTATTGGTTCTTGGTCAATCAAGAACCCTTTCTCTATGTTTCTGCAATCATTCACCAAGACATTCAAGAAAAATTCATTCCATTTTAGCACTTTTTAAAGATGTGTGGTGAATGAGGTTATACAGCATTTAACTCAAATTTGCATTTTCAGTATTCTGAGTGAATTATGCTCTCAATAGAAATTGTGCTTTCAAAACCTATTTTTTTCATTCTTAATGTATAGTTAGTTAACCCTAAGGTTAAATTACATGCATAATCAGAAATTCCTAATCAACAGATTTACATGTTTTTCCATGTGTAACTAGCCACCTGGGGGGGGAGTGTCCCTGCACTGTAAAGAAATATAATTACTATTATTTGTTTAAGGTTCCAACAAAAATAGTTAAGCCCACACATTGTTTAAATTAGAAGGTAAAATCCCACTGGTGTCAGTGGGAAGGCAAGGTAGTGTACAGTTAGTCCTTGACTTACGATGGCAAGTGGGACCAGAATTTTTGTTGGTGAACAATGCAGCTGTAAAGTATGACATCACTTAGGGATGGTAATCCCCACAATCACAGTTGATGTCATTAACTGAATCCCATGATCATTAAGTGAGGCAACTTCCTGCCAGTTCCCACAACCAAAGTCAGTGGGAAATCTGGCAGGAAACTGTAAGTTCCAGGACTGTAGCCTATAGAAAGGAGCAAGAGGTATGTGCAAGGATGTGGGAAATGGTTGGGGAACAATGTACGGGTGTGTGACAGGAACCCTGCAGGTTGGATGTGTGCCAAGAGGCACAGTGCTGATCATGGAGGGTGCATCCAATGAGAATCACACAAGGGTGCATGGGTGGAGGAGACTTGCCCCAGCGACCTATGACCCTCCCTGCCAACTTTCAAACTGGCTTTCTAGGGAAACTGGCAGGGCAGCTTGCAAATAGCAATTATGTGATCACAGAGTGCTTGGCGACCAGTTGTAAGTGTAAACAGGTTGCTAAGTACCCAGATCACTATCATAAGAACACAAATGGATGAGCTAAGATAGTCAGAACACTATGGACTGGTTGAGGACTACTTTTTTAGTGGTTAAAGTGCTGCAACAGGATCAGACAACTCCATATAGCATTCATATTCACTGAGCTGCAGTGGGTTACTTTGGAACTAACATTCACAAATTTGCTGGTGTGGATTCAGAGGAATGTCATGCATATCACCTTGAATTCCTGGAAAAAAGGTGGGTCTTAAGCAAGAAAATTTTAACTGGCACCAAAAAATAGATTGGGGGATTCTTCCACAGTCTGTTTTGCTTTTCCCTTTCCTACTGGGACTGCTTAGTTTTATCCTCAACTTGATTTGGATTTGAAAATGTCTTCTAAAACTTTATGTCACAAATGATTTTGTTATTTTAGTGTGCCACAATACTTTGGTATTACCTCATATGTAATCTAAAGTCTCAAAAACTTACTTGCCTGAGCAAGGTTCCTCTTCAACATATAATTTAGCACTGTATTTTCCTAACAGAAATAGTCTCTAAATAGTACTAGAGTCTGAAGTGAAGTGAAGCTAGATTTAATAATAAATTAGAGAAGCATCATGATTAGTGCTTGACAGTTTCCTCACTGGGAGTTAGAAGGGTATATTTAGGCATAGGGACTGGGTGGTCTTGCACCCCAGCTGCGTCCCCCAACCTAAATCCCTAATCATAATTAATTGCTATGCTCTCTAGGGATGAATGTTTTAACAAAACTAGAAGCATTAAACTGGCAAAACTTATTACCTGAAAAATACCCATTAGGGACCTGATTCCTGAGGCAATTAGAAATTACTTGAACCAAGATCTATAATCCAGGTTATAAATCCCAGGTTACTTCAAAAATGATGGTGTAATTCTTGGGTTGTAAATATCAGAATGCATGATCCTCACTTACCTGTTTAAGAAAACCATCTGATGGTTGCAATTACAGTGGCCAAACTCCAGAAGCCAGTGATCTGCTAAACAATTCTGGGCCCACTGCAAGCAACATTGATGACCCATATATCTTCCAGGTAACAAAATAAAAAAAATACACAAGAATAGAGGAAGTGGCTCATTGTATTCTTTTATTCCTCAATTTAAAATGGCTAGTCATAATAAAAATAAAAGTGTGGCCTAACAGAGGCCACAGTTTAGATATTGCCATAGAGAAAGATTCAGTAGAGACTTAGACCGTTGGATTCTTGGGTTGCTGATTTCTACTGCCATGGGCTTTTACACGTGATGAGAGATTTTTGGCCTATGAAAAAATATTGCTTTTTGGTTAGTTTTTTTTTCTCTCTTCTTTCTCTTGCCCAGTTTGGGAATAAAGAACTGTGACATCACAAGAAATTCATATGGAGCATTTCATAAAAGCAAGGTAAAAAAACACAGGAAACCACTTGGAGGAGTTACCTAATGCAAATACTATCTCCACACAAGGGACTCGGGCCCACTGCTATCCATTCCATTTAGCACCTCAATCCAAGGCTGTAATGATCCATAATGAGTATTTCACATGCTTCCTGGTTTACAGAGAACAGCGTTTTCTCTCTGGGAATCATTCTGAAAGAGATCTGTCTGGACATTGAAAAAGTAAACCCAAATACTCCCCCCGTTTTCCTAAACCCTCCAAGACTTTCAGGGAAAAATATATATCTATTTGTGGGAAAATTTTCAACACCAAAACCCAGAGATAATAGAAGGGGTGCCTTTGTATGCTCCCTCCTGGAATAAATCCTCGTGCTCATGCTTGGCCAGAGGCAGAAATAACCAGGCCAGATCAAACGTGATGCTGGCGTTTCTTCAGCCTTATCAGGGGTAGTGGTTTTGCAGTGGTTTTCACTGAAAGTAAACCAAATGGCTATTCTGCTATACCCCACCAGATTCTTCTGAATATGGTTTACACATGGGTTTCCTCAGGCCCAGCTGATGAAGTATGACCAGGCTTACCTCCCTTACTTATGGGTAGATATAATTTCTTTTTCTTTTTATATTTATATATTTATAGATATTTATATATACACACACCCAGTAAATCAGAAGAGGAAAAATATAGAATCCGTAGCAATAATAAAAAAAAAATTAAAAATGATCAACCCCTACCGCACTAGGCGAGCGATTGCACAAGGTCCACAATTAACTGTTCTGTTGGTAGCAAGACAGGCTACAGCCTGCACTTTCTTCCAAGTCCTTCCCTTCACTCTCGGCAAAGTGCTACCAACGGCAGTCTCCTGGTGACTGAGAGGGAAGAGTGCAGGCTGTGGAGGTGAGCAAGGCCGAGATCCCATTGTAGTGTTTAGAAACTCTCTCAAATAGTTTTAAGTTTAAAAGGTAATTGTCCTCTCTGTTCTCCCCCACCCACCAAAACCGGGATTTATTTCTTTATTTTTAAAAAGTCCATGCATGTGATGGAGCAACCATTTGCCCAGCAAAATCCATGTCTCCTGATCACCAGGGACAGGATGTTTGGAAATCAGCCAAAGAGGAGTAGATAGCGGGAAGATCAGCTCCTCATACAGAAATCTCATATGTGGTCCCACCCACTCCAGAGACTTTCTTGACTCCTCCTCGAGTGGGACTGTTGAGAGGTGGCTGGCCAGGGGTGGGTGAGGTTGAGCCCAGAGTCCTGGGCTGTCCATTAGACTTGCTGTAAGAGGGTCTCATCTGCACCTCGTCTCTGGGAAAAGGAAGGATACAAGGGCATCAGGAAGTGAGCACTCATTCAATGGCAATGGAAATGGAGGATGCCTCACAGATAGCTTAAGGGAAGGAAAATTTGGAATACACATTGGCATTGCCTGGGATGCAAAGGGAAATCTAACAGCAGTGGACTGTCAGCCCACAGAAACTGACAAGGCAATACAAATATTTTAGTGTCTTAGGACGACGAAGTTAAACACAGAAGGGAATAGGATTCTACACACTGGGAACTTGAAGAGATTCCACATCTAGCCAAAATACAGCACTATATGGAAGGGATAAACGAAAGTGTACTACAGACCAAGAAAGGATTGCAGGAAAGGGCATGTATATCAAAAGGACTACTTCTTATAATCTGTTCCACCTGCTTATTGATATGGCCTCAAAAGTATCATAAGAATACACAAGAGACAGGGAAGAGGAGCACAGAAAAGTAGGAATATGAATTATATCACACACAGTGTTTTTATATATGAGGTAGTAATCAGGCAGGCAATATAAAGTTTCAAGCATCTCACATGAAAGCCAATGACCATCTCACAGACCACACTGCTCACAAAAAGGAATGTGACACTATGCAATGTACCCTGCATTATAGAACTAAGAGTGAGGAAATGGATTGGTTCACACACTGGAGAATGGGAAGGAAAAAGGAGGGAAGGAAGGGACAGACGAGAGCAGACACTATTTGTAGATCACTGCCAGCTGTTTCTTTCAGATGTTGCTGGAAGGAATCACAATTATCTTGGAATCCTTTGCCAGAGCACTGATGGGGCAGATCTAAATGTGGTTCATCCTCCACTAAGTCAAGGAACACTTAAAGAATGAGACACGTGTCACTTGTACTTACTTTGGTGCCAGTAAAGGCTGCAAGGCCACCTCCTCAGTCTCTGGGACGACAGCCTGAGGCGACTGTTTTTGGCTGCTGTAAGACATAGATTTGCCCATGTGGGAGGATGAAAGCTGGTCTGGTGAGGCCAGCACGCGCACTCTAAGTGCATGTGGTGGTTCTGGTTTGCCAAAGCGAGGTGCCACTGGGCGAGTGAGTGGGTTTTTGCCCAAAGGTGAACGTTTTGAATCGTCCGAAGAGGAACTCGTTCGTGGGGCATTGCTGGACCCCGGTGTGGACTGTATCCCAGAGTCCCCTAGGCCTATATCTTCCTCTTTGGCCAGGGGTGACGGCATAGATGACTGCTGCAGCAACTTCTCCCGTTCTTGCATGGAAGCCACAATATGCCGCGAAAGATTGTCATAGCGGACGGGTGAAGAATCACAAGGTTGCTGGTGTTTGGGTGAACCAGAGCTTGGAAAACGACTGTGCAAGTCAGCCTCCCGCTGCTGAGCAATACGGGCTGAAAGAAAAGGAGACGTGTATCCCATGAGCGGGTCTGGCTCTGAACTTGCCTGCACTGACTCAAAATCAGGGCTATCAGATGGTGTGAGAAGACTGTCGTATGACAAGCTCCCATTGCGTGTCTGGTTCACCAAGCTCTTGTAAGATGTGGAAGTAGTGCCTTCGGAGCGGATTGACTGAAGATGGCCCATTTCAAAGCCTGTGCCTTGAGCTGACTTGAGGCTGGAGGAGCGGGAACCACTGGATAGAGGATCAAAATGGAAACTCTTGCCAAAAGTAGGTGATCGGAAACTTTCTGGTTCCAGACTTGGTTCTGAACGGTAGCTGGGGTTTCGGCTGCTTTCAACAATAGATGTGGGCTCCTTCAGACTGTCTCCTCGATTTAGCTGTTATAGGGAGTAAAAGATACAGGAGTCACTTGATAGCTTCCTAAGTTGTGCATAAGAAATAAAAAATAAAGTATGCCGTCTGCTCCTTCAAGGCATCCTATAGGCCTATTAGAAGGAAAATAAATTTCTCAATATAGAAATTGAAAATTTGCAAGCTACTCAAGTTACACCTTATAATTCACTTACTGAAAGTCAACATATTGCCACAGAATCCTGAATATGACTCTAGAACAGCTTTTCAACCTTTTCACTCATTGTACGACTTTTAGGATATGGCAACATCCTAGTACCACCAGTCGCCTAGCAAAGTGTCAAAAACTTGATGACCCCCCACAAAAAAGGAAAAAAGCAATGAAGTACAGGTAGTCCTCGACTTACAACAGTTCGCTTAGTGACTGTTCGAAGTTACAATGGCACTGGAAAAAGTGTCCCCCAAGCCACAGCCGAGCAAGACACCTGCCTGCCCACCCGGCGGCGCTCTTCCTCCTGTCTGAGGTTTTCATTGTTGTGAGCATTTCTGTTGAGGATTGGCAGTGAGGATGGGGTGGGGGGTGTTTGGTTTTTATTCCCCCTGTCTGCTGGATGGTTGCAGCAGATTTTGGTTACTTCACATGACCCTGGGACACTGTGACCGTCATAAATATGAATCAGTTGCCAAGCATCTGAATGTAAATCATAAGACCCTGGAGATGCTGCAACATTCCAGCTGATTGATGCTTCTTCTGGCTCAGCAGAGGTGCCTAGCTCCAGCTGGAGCCTGGTGCAGATCCTGGCGCTTCCACTGAGCCCTGACAGTCCCGAAGAAGCGCTGATCTTGGTGCTTCCGCTGAGCCCTGACAGCCCTGCAGCTCCAGTCGTCTCTCGCTCAGGCTTGTATGGTGCTGCCACTTTTCTAGGATGGTCGTGTACCACCTGCCAGGTGCCAATGTACCAGAGATGGTACCCGTACCACCGGTTGAAAACCCTTGATCTAGAATACACATATTTAAATTCTACCTCAGATATAAATGCCTTGGATGAGATGGGTTCAGTTATATTTCTAAGCTGAGTTTGTTATAAGTATTTAATCAATTCACAGGGTATCAAAATTATATGTGAAACAAGAATACAATAAACTAAAAAACTGTTAAATACATAATAAATCATACAAAACCTTAAAATATTTCAAATGTTCTCTCTCAGGCACACTCATAAAAGGAGCTGCCAGCTTTACATAGCTAGTCTGAAAATGAGACATCCTACCTGTATCACCCCTTGTGTGGGGGAGAAGGTGGAAGAAAAGGGATGAGTGGACAATAGGAGAGCAAAACTATGGAAAAATATAATACACTCTGGCTGCTGCAGCCCGACTGCCTAATTTGGCTTCTGATGCAATCATGGTTAATATACATTCAAAACTGAGCTGGCAATAATTCTATGGTTGACAGCAGCTGAAAGTTTGTTAGATTTGTTTGGATTTGGATTTCTGTCCCACTTTCATTTAGAAGCCTGAGGTGATTATATATATATATATATATATATATATATATATATATATATATATATATATATATATATATATATTTTTTTTTCTGAGGTTTTCGCAGGTGTTTGTATATAGGTCTTTGGTTATTCGGGTTTTCTCCCGCGTCAAATTGGAAGTGTCTTGGCGACGTTTCGACGAAGTCTCATTCATCTTCAGGCTGGTGCTTTCGGCTTCGTGCTTCTAGGAGCATACACACACACACACACACACACATACATCCATCCTCCTCCTCCTTGGAAGTAAACTACTAGAATTTAGTAGAATTTCCTTTTGACTTGCAGGAGTTCACTATAAAAAGACCAGCTTTTAACAGTATCACAATATTTCTGCTATTTTTTATGCACATGTTAATACAATTAACCCTCTTAAAGTTACTTATCTATAAAACAAATTTGGCCAGTTTGGGTCTCACACAAGATACTGCAAACTAAAAATAGGAAGGAGTGATGGTAGTAGCTTCCCCATTGACTTTACTTTTCAAATGAACACAAAAAGTGATCACATGATCCCAGGACACTGCAACGGTCATAAATGTCGGTGACCAAGCGTCTGAATTTTGATTACATGACTGTGGGGATGCTGCAACGGTCATAAATGTCAACAATGGTCACAACTCACTCTTTTCAGGGCCATTGTAACTTTGAACAGTCATTAAATAAATTGTCGTAAGTTGAGGACTATCTGCATTTCTGACATAAGAGTAGGTATTTTATAGAGTAGCAATGAGCAAAAGAATCTCTGGAAAAATTTCATTAATGTTCTTCTAAATCAAATGATTAAACAAGTCTACTTCTCAGTTATAGTTAGATTAACAGTCCTGTTCTGAAATAAGAATTATATTTATATTTGCAAAGTATGCTCCCGTATATTATTCAACAGATAACTATTTTGATTCCTTGGCCCATCATTTTTTCATTGCTCCAATTAGTAGGTCTCAGAGTTCTAGTAAAAACAAAGGCAGATCTGACAAGTCTGCCAATCCTCCCTTAGTAAAATGTACATCAGTCCAATTAAGGCATTATTGTCTCAAACCAAATTCTTCCCCTTTCAGCACCTCCCCCTGTCTGTTCGTCTACTGTGGTCTATTCTTCATGCTAAGTAAGCTTATTTACCTTGGCACTGGTGGAGTGAGGCATTGCAGCTGAAGCACTGCTGCTACTGTAGCCAGGTCGATACTTATACATAGTAGGAGTAGGAGGGCTGTCCTTACTTAGCAAACTGCTATCTGTAAAGAGAAAGGGAAAAAACAGGATGGCTGTCATAGATAATATGCTTCAATGTCGCCCTGGGAGTCTCCTTGAGTCCTGGCCTCAAGTGCCATGGATAGCAGATGACGCAACTGTGAGAACCAAGTTACAGTAGTCTGTCCTGAAGGTTAAGGAATCAACCAGAACTATAAAACATGCATAAAGGGTGAAGATAAAAACAGTGGAAAAGGAAAGTTTTCCTTTCTATGAGATCACATCATAAATCGTAATTATAATGCAAATGCAATACATTTTCAAAGAAAGGAAAAAAATACACATAAAGTGCTTGAAAACTGAAAAATTACAACAGAAAAAAACAAAGTATTATGTATTGCTATAATAATTAAGTTTTACACACACACACACAGAGAGAAAGAGAGAGAGAGAGAGAGAGAGAGAGAGAGGAGAGAGAGAGAGAGAGAGAGAGAGAGAGAGAGAGAGGGAGGGAGAGAGAGAGAGAGAGAGAGAGAGAGAGAGAGAGAGAGAGAGAGAGAGAGAAAGAAATGTATTAGAAATATATGTTATTTATTATGTCCTTGAATATTATTTTCTCTCTGTCTCTGTCTCTCTCTCCCTCTTCTCCCCCACCTCAGTTTTCAGCACTGCTGGATGGGAGGCCGTAGCACTGATCTAAGAACTCAAATGAAAACCTGCAAAACAAAGTGCCAAACACATCGACACATATTTTCTTATCTATTCTAAAACACACAGATGTATAATATAGCCCAAATAACAACAAAGATCATATCTTCGATTTACTACAACAACTGAGCCCGGAATTTTCTTTTTAAGTTATGTAATGTAAAGTAATGTACTCTAATGTAAATTATTTGTCATAAATCAAGTCACCACATGACCGCACTTAATTTTACAGCTGTTTTTACGACAGTTGCTAAATGAATCGCATGGTTATTAAGTGAATCATGAGGTTGCAAGTATGAATCCAGATCGCCCAATGGGTGTTTTCGATGGAAAATGGTAAAAAAAAAAAAAGTCACAAAATGCAATGTGACCATGGGATCCTGAACATGTCATAAATGTGAGCTGGTTGACAAGTGCCCAGCAATGCAATCATGTGACTGCAAGGGTGGTGCAACAGTCACAGCTTTGAGGACAGATCTTAACACACATATGTGTATGCATGTGTGTGTGTGTGGGTGTATTCTTCTTTTGAGAGTGGCCATCAGAATTTCATTTTCATGTGTGCCATTGTGTGTACAGAAAAATGATAATAAAGGTTATCTTGTCTCATCAGACCTTGCCTCAACAGCATTATCAGCTGACCTACTAATTACTTCAAAACTAAGCATTACATTTTAATTTAATAGCCACAAGCACTGCTACTGGGTTTTGCAGCGATGCAGAGACAGACATTATTTCCCTGATACAGACAATCACACAGGCCCATAACTGACTGTGTCTCTCAAGCAAATCCCTCTTACCCTCATTGGTGGCCAGGGTTAAATGTGTCCTCAGACCTGTGTAGCGGCTGAGGTCTGGTTTGGGTGGCGGTGGTGGTTCAGCATCAGCAGACTGGCTCTCTGTTACTTCTAGGCTTCCTTTGGACTGCAGAGAAAAAACAAAGCACACTGGTACAATCGAAAGAATGGCAGGAATCCATCTTATGAACCTTGTCTTTGGTTGGATAAAGGTGGATTGCTCTTAAAATGACCAATTACTCCTCCAGCATTTCCACAAATGTTTTTGTAAACTGAACATGGTTTCAGTTGCTGGATGAGAAGTGAAAAGCAAAAACTCAATGATCAAAGACACCACTTTTATGTTGTGCTGGTTACACAGGAGGGAAATGTAAGTTCAAGTTCAATTCCTGGAGAAGCAGAAGCAAGGAGTGATATTACTAAGGAACAATGCCTGAGGTAATCATTTGATACCTACTCACACTGCCAAAACCCCGAGAATAATTTGAGAGTCGCTGCTTATGCAGCACTTTCATGTCCTCCTCACCTTTGTTCTCTTCAGTTCAGCCTGGATACCATTATCCATTATCTTCATAGCAACCTGTCCATCTGATATTTCTGGCCGTAAGAATGGAGGCCTCACTATTAAAGTCTGTTCTCCCTTTGGCCGCCCAAGATACCTAGTGAATAGTGAAAAGGGCTTAAGTAAAGTATAGTAAGAGAGTGCTTATAGTAAATTATTTATTTACCTGGCTTAGCAAGGCAGTGTAATGTCAGAGTAAGAGTTGAGATACGTACATTTTGCAATTTGAAGACATTGAACTAGCCCTCAAGATGTGACCGGTTATTTAACAACTATTCAAAGTTATGACAGCCACCATAAAATATGCCCACCCCAGTGCTTTTTGACAGTTTCTGGCAAAAACTGCTCCTTTGGGAGAATGGGTTCACACTTGGCATCAGCTACCCAAGCCCTGCTGTGCACACACCACATCTCACCAGACACCTGCAGAAAGCTCTCACTCCCTCTTCCACCCAATAGCAGCTCTTATCTACCTGCCAGCCTGCTTGCCAGCCACCTGGCACTTACAATTTCCTCTTGCCTTCCCCACTGACTTAATTGTTCAAAGCTGGCAGCAAGCTGTGAGAAGATATTCATTTACAAGACCTATGATCCTTGTTTAATGATGTCAACAGGACTGCAGAGATTGCCATGGCTAAGTGATATGGTCACATGATATTGCCTTTTATGACCGTATCACTTAGTGACAGAAATTTCAGTACAACTGCTATGGTAACTTGAGGGCTACCTATAATATTATTTTAAAGCCGTAGAAAAATGATAATAATTTATTAAATGTATTATTAGTTGTTCTGGATGATTTAAGTAACTAGAAGTAATGAAGAAAGTAACAAATAAAATGGCTGTTCTATAAAGTTACCTTGCAATTCCAATAAAAGAATAACATACAAAACAGGATTACACAAATAGGAATTGTATTCTAACCTCTTATCACTCCTTCCTTTTTTATTGATCTTATGGAAACAAATTGCTTTTGTGCACAATAGTTTATTTCAATATAATTTTATAAATGTGAAGAAATGCATACTCAGAACTTTGGTAATGCTAGGCAGAGAAATGTAGTACCTGTAGATTCTGATTCATTACAAAAGTAGATATGTTGGGTGCAGAAAAATAATCTAAATACAGCTGCATAGTTAAGCAACAGAAACATATGCACTGTCCTAATATATTTCAGATAGTGACAGAGGGTGAAAAGGAAATTTGGCTCTATATGGTAACTCATAGTCTTCCTCTTTAATCATGCACAAAATAATAATGTTACATATTGTTAATTTGGAGCTATTTAGTGTTCCTTATTATCTAAAGTGAGAGCCAGTTAATGCAGTGGTTAAGACAGTGATGGCGAACCTTTTAGAGACCGAGTGCCCAAACTGCAACCCAAAACCCACTTATGCATCATTGAGTGCCGGGTGGGCGTGGCTGCAGTGGTAACCGCAGACTGGATGGGACTAAAAAGTTCAATCAATCAATCAATTCCAACTTTGCAAGATCTTTTTTTCCCACGAGAAGTTGAAATTGATTGAACCCTTTTTTTTTTTTTTTTGCATACGACGGCGGAGGCCTAAAGTGAAAAGGTTTTATAAAACCCAGCTGAAGGCCTAAGACTGGGGCGATGGCACACGTGCCCACACAGAGGGCTCTGAGTGCCGCCTCTGGCACCCGTGCCATAGGTTTGCCACCACTGGGTTAAGGCATCAGGTGAGAAACTGGGAGTTCTAGTTCCATCTTAGGCATGAAGCTAGGTTGGTGATCTTGGGCTGGTCATTTTCTCCCAGCCCTAAAAAGCAATGGCAAACACTTCTGAAAACCCTTGCCAAGAAAACTACAGAGACTTGTCCAGACAGTCTGAGAATTGGATAGGACTGAATGGAAGAAAAAAAAATTAAAGTAGGAATACTTAATATAAATCAGAAAGACCTTTTCCCCAAAGAAGTAGAACGTTTGGAGCAGCAATACATCTTCTACTCCAGGAAAATCTTAGTTTAGATGACCAAAGTCAGAATTTAATTATATTTATTAATTTGGAAAACAGGCCACAGGCACTTTAAAGGAGATCACTCAGTCAGCCTTTATACCAAATTAATACTCCTACATCTTTAGATACTGATCAGCACACACCCTTTACAATCTACAAGGGAGAGGAAAAACACAGCTGCTCTGTCAAACATCAGTTCTCCTAATTTAGGAAAACATGTGATAGGCGTTGCTAACACTTGGTGGGATAAAGCTCATTATTCATACACAACATTAGAAAGGTGTAATTTATTGAAAAGAAACAGAATGAATAGAAAGAGTGAGGGCGTTGCACTGTACATGAAGAAAAAAATACATTGAACAAAAATTCAGCAGAGAATGGAAATCCTATAAAAATATCTTGGGTAACAATAAAAAGAGAAAGGAAATGGATACCATTGTGGGAGTTTTTCACAGACCACCTGGGTAGGGAGAAGGTATAAATGAGGCCTTTCTGCACCCAGGGATAGTAGGGGATTTCAATTAGGCCTAATAAACTATTGTTATCTCTCGCTGATAGCTTTGTCAGAAAGTGGAAGAAAGAGCAAGCTGGTCTGTTATTGTGGATTTAATTATTACCAACAGGAAGAATTGGTTGAAAAGATTAAGGTAGCTGGCATCTCTTGGGAAAATAAAGATGTTACCCTGTATTTGTGATAACCAGAAAAGAAAGAACTAACAAGAGTCAGACTGCCTCCTGCACCTGAGTAGAACAAATTTTGATGAATTCTAAGGGAAGGTGAATGGGAGACAAATGACACCAGAAGGGTGAGAAACCGTACAACAGGGGTGTCAAACTGCCGGCCCACACCCACCCCAGCTCTGGCAATGCAAAAAAAGCTGTGATATGTCGCAACACGTCACGTGACGTGGCACGTTTGACAGCCGTGCTCTACAACATATGATATTGAGGGCACAATTGCAAACCAACTCTACAACAGCAGAGAAAAACAGGATTCTAAAGATATATGGTGGATATATGCAGAGCTCTCAAGTGCTGACAAGAAAAAAGGAGATGTTCAGGAAATGAAAGGAGGGAAACTTTACCAAAGAAGAATATATATAGTTTCATGTCAGTCCTTCAGAATAGTACAGGTCAGGCAAAAAGACTCCAGAAGGACTATTGGAATTTTATCGTTGCAGGGTACAATAACAACAAAATCTTGAAAACTTGCCAGACTTTCTTTCTTCCCCTTATTACACCAAAGGGAATAAAGATGGAGCAATCTTGAGTGACTTTCTCGCTTCCTCCTTTCTTTCAGAACTAAACTGATATTTACATAACCATTCAAGGATTCCTTCTTCATGGTTACTTCTCTACTCTTCTGTATTTCTAGAAAGTTGGAACATTGTCAGAAGGCTAAAGCTCAGAATGATCTGAGAATTGATAAGATATTCCCAAAACAACAAAAAGGACCCTTTTATATGTTTTAGAAATAAAATGAAAGTGAAATAGGTGTAGGCCTATATAATGAGAAAGTTATGAATCACTAATAAAGGCTGGTGACAAAATCCTCACCTGTCTACTTTCTGAAATGAAATTAAGCCATATCTAACCGCTATTATGCCACTGTGGATATGGCAGAATTGCAGCTTAAGATAGAATGCAGGAGAGAGTAAGGAAGACCTTAACAAAATTAAATGAATTTAAGCTTCCAAGGCCAGATGGATTACATTCCAGGGTATTAAAGAAATTACAGGTAGTTCTCAACTTATGACCACAATGGAGTCCAAAATTTATGTAGCTAAATGAGACAGTTAAGTGAGTTTGGTCCCATTTTACAACCTTTCTTGCCAGGGTTGTTAAATGAATCGCCCCAGTTGCTAAGTTAGTAACACAGCTGTTAACTGTGAATCTGGCTTCCCCATTGACTCTGCTTGTCAAAAGGTCACAAAAGATGATCATATGACCCTGGGACACTGCAACTGTCATATATACATGCCAGTTGCCAAGCGTCTGAATTTTCATTACATGACCACGGGGATGCTGCAGCAGTCGCAAGTGTGGAAAATGGCCATAAGTCACATTTTTCAGTGCCATTGTAACTTTAAATGGTCACTAAACAAACTGGTGTTAAGTCAAGGACTATCTGTAGTGCAATGACTGCAAAACCATTTTCAACTCCTGGATGACCAGTGAAGTTCCAGAAAAAAGCAAATGTTATTCCCCATTTCAAAAAAGAAGGAAGCAGACTCACAAAACAACAAACCTGTCAATTTTAGCTCTGCTGGTTGCCTTGGGGACCAGATGGGGGTATTCCAGGTTGGAGGTGGCTGCTAGATTGAGGGCAGACTCCCCCCCCCCACACACACACTTGCTCACTACCATCCATTTTTTGCTTATCATATTGATGTATTATTCTCATTTTGTTTCTTTGTCAGTGTTTAACGTTCTATTAATTTTACTTCTGTGTACCTTTTTATTATTGTAAGCCACCTAGAGTAGCCCTATGGTAGCATAGGGGGCAACTAAATTTAAATTAAACAAACAAATAAAGTTTGTCGTCTATGCTACGGCAAGTTTCTCAAGAAGCTTGAGAATGGTATGGGAGTATGGGAGCAGGTTAATAATTAACCAAAGCCAGCATGGGTTTGTTACAACAGATCATTCTGGACTAATCTCATATCCTTCCTTGACAGAGTTAGCACCTTAGCAGGTCAGGGAAATGCTATCGACATAGACTGGAAGCCAGTAGAAAACCCATGTAGTCCTCAAAGCTCCTATTAGGGAATGCTGGATTATGCACAGGCTGAATCAACTGAAGCTTTCAAGTGGTAACTTTAAAAGCAACCCGTGCTGTACTTTGGGTGAGTGAGATGACAATGTCATGAATCCCTGTAGTTAAGCTCTTCTTGCTCCACTTAATGCTGCAACTATGGCACCAGCTAAAGCTAGTCAAATGCTCTCCTGGCCTCCACCTACTCTTCAGGCAGAAATCACAGATCTGTTCCTTCAGGAGTAGTTCTTTCAACTACAACGGTCTTGCCTGAGCACCCCGTTGGATAAACAGTAACTTTGTCTTGCTAAAAATCAAGATTAGTTTGTTCTCTCCCATCCATATTGTGAAGGATGTGGAAAACAAAGCTCTATGAAGAATATTAAAGGAGCTAGGATTATTAAAAGGCAGCTGTTGGAGGCATGTGATGTTACTTTAGTCTCCAAATACCTGATGGGTTGTCACACAGAAGAAAGCCAGATTTCTTCTGTTGCCACAAACCAGAGAACCAGTACAGCTAGTCCTTGGTTAACAACCACTCATTCAAACCAATGGTTTGAAGTTACAACAGCACTCAAAAGAGTGGTGATTACAATCAGTCCTTGAAGTTCCAGTGGTTCTCAGGGTCAAGCACTTAGGTGCTTACAGCATCTTGTGGTCATATGATTGCAAATGGCAACCTTCCTTGCCAGTTTCCCATAAGCAAAGTCAATGAGAAAGTGGGCAGAGAAGATTGAAAGCTGCTTGGGTAACTCTCCCCCAGCCCTTCTGCACTTACGGCTTCCAACTACCCACACACACTCACTGAGCCTTACTGTGTTTGTGCCACACTTCCCTGTGCCCTCGTATATCCTTGCGTGCTCTTCCCAAACCTTGCTGAGATTGTGCCTTTCTAGCCACTTGAACAACCGGGTGCTCCCTCTTTCCCTGGCAGCAGCCACGTACCTGCCTGCTGGCCTGCTTGCAACACCTGGGGCTTGCAACATCCTGCCAGTTTGCCCACTAATTTTGGTTGCTGGAAGCCAACAAGAAGCTGTGATGAGGCTATAGCCTAAGAATCCACAATTCCCGCTTAGGTATGAAAACAGAGACTGAAGAAATTGCTGTCTCTAAGTAATGCGGTAACATGACGTTGCCCTTTATGACCACATCACTTAGTGACAGAAATTCCAATCTCAATTGCCATTGTAACTCAAGGACTACCTGCAGGTTTAAAATACAAGGAAGGAGGTTCAAACTAGACAACATGACGAACTTTCTGCCTGTATAAAAGCTATAGCCAATGAAATATGTTCCCACAGGCAATGTTGAGTCCTTCAGATAAAGCCTGGATGGTCAATCTGTCGGAGATACTCTAATACATCCTGCACCAAGGAAGGGAATTACTTTGATGACTTCTACAGTTCCCATTCTATGATTAAGAACTGAAATGATTGTTAGCAATTGCTTTTGCCAACCCAGCATTTCCTTGCTGAACCATTCATACGGTTAACTGTGAGAAACTTCCTCTCATTTTTCACACTAACAGTGAAGACAGTAATTCTCATTTCTCTTCTTCTCCATCTTACTTTGGTGGAATAGAATTTACCTGGGGGCTGGAGAGCTGCAAAGGACACGACTGACATTCTTACAGCAGCCATTGGTAAATGGGTTTACCCCACCTCGGAACTTGCCTGTAACCTGCAAAGACCAAAAACTGGTTAGGCAAAATTCAGTGAAATGAACCACAAAACAAAATTGGAAATACTTACTTGTTCATTGGTAGTGCGTCCTCTGGCTACCAGTACCACATGGAATCCCGTAAGGCCAGCTACAGGAATAAAGAACAAGCCAGCCACACACATGACCGCCATTCTGCAGCAAAGTCAAGGAACAATACTCAAGGATCACTCTTCATTTCTTAGGTGAAGATTCGTTTCCCACCAGACAGAGGGCACTGTCTTAAGGAGATCTAACAACTCCTAGCTAGGGTTCATTTTTATCAGGGAGCTCCTTGTTCCTGAAAAGATTAAAGGATACGTAACAGCCATGCGGATTCCAGAGAGCTCCTCCACTTGATATAAGACATACAGTAAACCAAAACCAAACACGCCCATGATATGCACTGTAAGTGAAAGCAGGAACAGGAAGAAGTAGCGGTAATTGCGTCTTCCTATGCAGTTGTTCACCCATGGGCAGTGATGGTCAAATTCCTTTCATAAAAGAAAAAAAGGTCAAGAAAATAATTCCTCTAGAAAGCCAGACTATAATTTTACAACATTAATAAAACTATTCTAAATTACAGCACATCTGACTACAATTCAAGTATTTATTTTCATTCGTGATAGAATGTAAAACGTAACTCCCATAAGAATGGTATAGCCACAACGAACTGGTAGACCTTTGATCTGATTGACCTTATGCCTTTCCTCTCTTTTCATGTATTCTCTGTGTTCGTGCGTGTATAGATGAGTTTTGACATAAAGAATGTCAGGATATGCATTCTACTACAAACACTCTGTATACAGTTTGTAACATCTAGCCAATTTCCCAGGCCTCACAAGCAGAAATAACAAAGTTGCTGAACATGTTCCCAAACATTACTCTTGGAATTGCTCAGCAGAGAAAATCAAATTCAAATAGTTTGGTTCATCTCAGATAATTTTTCTTTGCTTCAGCTCCAGAGTGGAATTCTGAAGGATAACAACATTCTATCTACATTGTCTATGGTGAAGCAACCGGGGAAGAGTAACCCCACTTTTTGTCAAAGACTCTTAGAATGCTTCCCTCCTTGGCAGATGAATAACTTCTTTCAGATGTGGTTTTAAGAATTGCATTCCCCTTCCCATCCCCATATTAGCCAGTGAAAACATCGACGTCTCCCTAGGTTTACAGCTGAGGCAACCCATTCTCCATCTCTGCATTTCCAATATGCTTTGGCAAGTCCTTCCCCACCATTTTGGCAAACGGATTTTTGCAACTGAAGAGCTTTCCTTTCAAGATGCTTTTAATCTTCAGAGCTACCCTGCTGTACACCTTTAAAACAATCCCTTTTGGCCATGCCAGTCTAAACCCTACACGGAATGTCCACAAATTCTCAATGCTACCTTTAGAGTAGCAACAGGATCTTAGAAGGAGCATATTGTGGCATCTGACAACTTTGGTGTTCAGTTTGGATAATTAATATGTGGTAGCCTGTATGAATTGGTATTGCCTGAAGACAAGAAAAATAAACCTGCATTCAATGACTGGTTAGATGTATCCTGTGACTCTGGTACAATCTGAAAATAGGTGAAACACCAATCCTATTGAAGCCATGCAGGTCTGGGGCGGTTCAAACGCTGGATGGGAGGAATCTGAAAAGCTTATGCATATCACCTTAAATTCCCATTTCAGGGAAAAAGCTGACATTAAAAAAAAGGAACAGCTGAAAGTCCTGTCCCTTATTCCCGTCTCCTTCCCTTTTTCTTTCCCAAGATTAGATTATAAAACCTGACAATACTCAAGTTCTGGAATTGATTAAAAGCAGCCCAGATTATGCCAAACAACATCCCGCATAGAATAAGCATTCTGAATCTTTTTAGTGGAGCTCTATTCTCATTTTATCTTACCTCCACACAGTTGTCACAGACACTACAATGGGAGCAGCGTGGGGGCCGGTAGAATCTGCATGTTGCACACCATTTCATACGCACTTGAATACCCTTTATTTCCACAGTTTTGTATAGGGGAGCTCGGAAGTCATCCTCCTTATCCTCATCTTCTTCAGCTAAAGCAGAAGAAAGCCATCAAACACAATAGAAGAGGAAGAAAACCCCCAGAATCAATACATTTCCCCCTTCTAGATTTGTAATGCTAAAAAATGACTTATGACTGGTTCTCTCACTTGTGACCATTGCCACATCCCCATGGCCACGTGATCAAAATTTGGGCGCTTGGCAACTGGCATGCATTTATGACTCTGCACTGTCCCAGGGTCATGCGACCAACATTTGCAACCTTCCCAGCCAGCTTCTAACCAGCGAAGTCAATGGTGGAAACCATGATTCATTAAACAGCTGTGGCAAAAAGGTTGTAAAATGGAGCGCAACTCACTTAACAACTGCCTTCCTTAGCAATGGAAATGTTGTGGTCGTACATCAAAGACTAATTTTACTAGCTGTTGACCGAACCAGTCAAAACAACATGGATTATATAATGTAAGCAATACACCAATAATCACAGCCAAGCCTGTAAGACAGACTCCCTGGCAAAAGAAACCAGGCAATAAAGGAAGGGAGCAATGCTATGTGTTCACTGCTAAAACTGAGGACATTCCAATTTACTACCTTAGGCAAACATAGTCACAGTGTCCAATAACACTGACCAAGTATTTAATATTCTCAATATTCATTCTTGGACCTATAGTAGAAAGGCAAATATTTAATTTTTTACAGGTAGTCATCAACTTACGATGATGGAACAGAATTTCCGTTGCTAAGCAAGGCAGTTATTAGGTGAACTGCCCGCTATTTTATGAGCCTTTTACCACGTTTGTTAGTGAATAATGGCAGTTATAAAGTAAATTGTGTGGTCATTAAGTGAATCTAGCTTCCCCCTCTTGCTAGTCAGAAGTTAGTTGGGAAGGTCACAAATGGTGATCATGTGACCCTGGGACATGGCAACCATTGTAAATGCATGCCGGTTGCCAAGCACCCAAATTTTGATCATGTGATGTGGGGACGCCACAACATTCGTGAGGAACAGTTGTAAGTCACTTTTTCAGTGCTGTTATAACTTGTAACAATTACTAAATGAATGTCTGTAAGTTGAAGACTACATGTATTGTGATAAAAAAAGATCTTATATAAATATAAAAAAAGATAACACCCCACAGATGAAAAATTGAAATAACGATATTATAATCACCATATTTAGATTTATGATTTGCAAGAAACTGGAGTAATGCTTACCTCTAGGGAATATGCCAGGATCCATGAAAGTGGCCATACTGAAGTTGGCCAGCACAAAAAGGAAGACCACAGCATTGTAAATGGGTATGATTGGGGAGATGTAAAAGCTGAGTCCTGGACACCTATACAAGAAAAAGCAGTCCAAAACAAAAAGAATCACTCTTTCAACTTTATTAATTGCATTTTATATTCAAACATTTTCCTAAATAACTATATATTTGCACTTTGTCATTGCAAATTTGTTCAGAAGCTCCATGGAACCAATTAGCAGTCAGAAAGTATTGTTCTAATCAATTAACAAAAATACTTAACTATGTAACATCTAAAACAGAAGATGAATTACTTGAATTCAACCTTACTGGACAATTTGTAGATAACCTAACTCACAAGTACATCTTCAAATTTATAGTAGACAATTCCAAGGTGATACTCCTTCAACATGCATTACTGGTGTGTATATTACATCTACTAAGTTGAACAATAATCTCTTCTCCCACAAGATAAACTGTGTAAGAACACTATTTAGATTATCACAAACACTCTGCAGCAACCCTGTACATTAGGAAAAGGAAACAGAACACTTATACATCTTGCAACAAAATGGAAACCCATGCAAAATTATCAAAAAGCACCTAACCACTTAACCCTCTACAGCACAACCAACATAAGCTATGAAAAAAATAACACTGCTATACATCACCAACAGACTATTGCAACCACTTGGCATCATAGTAACACACCAACCAACTAAAACCCTCCAAAACGTCTTAAATAAATAAAAAAACTCTCTGTAGCCCAGAAGAACAGGAGTCATCTACAATCTACGGTATATGGACTGTAATAGCCACTATGTAGGACAGACAGGCAGAAGACTAGCAGAGTGCATCCACACACACCAACTAATAGTCAGAGGACATGATGAAAACTCCTTAATTGCACAACATATGGACAGACTTAAGCATAGTTTCAACTGGGAAACTGTGAGCATTGTAGACCAACCAAAGCCCCCATCCAAAAAAATGCTACAGAATTCCTGGAAGCCTGGCACTGAGGCAAATCAGACATCAACAGGAACATAGAGATAAGCAATATTTACATATCAATAAAAAAGACAATCAGAAAGCTAAAAAGGAAACAAAAGATCAAAACACCTCCTCACCAGCAATGAACACTCAGATAAGCAGGGATTAACACCAAGATTAATAGCAGACCAACAATCAAGCAGTAAACAATTCTCCAAGCAAGGGACTACCAACTCAGACAAACAATCAAACAGTAAACAACAGCCACTTCTAACACTGAAGCTGTTACTTGCCTGGGTAACAAAATGTCTGCCAAAAAACAACCAACCTTAGAAGCACCAAGGACTTCTCAGTTCAACCCTGAGCTATAGATGTTCTCTCTTCTTAGTATTAAAAACCTCCTACCTGTACCTTTTCATAATATTTCATAATACCATAAAGTAACAATTTCCCATGTACCGATTCAGATTCTTTAGTCATGAGAACATCTCATGCAGAAATAATTACCGACTGAGATATTTCTTTATATAATATTCATTCAGTGATGATCGTAACAGAATGAAATAATTCTCTAGTCCAACAGACAAAAGCTCCTCAATAATGTTGACATTATGTTAAGCTAAAAAGAGGGAATATCTACTTTTATTTTTATTAAATGCAATTACATGCCATCGTTGACAATAAATTTCTAAAGCAGTGTTTCCCAAACTTGACAATTTTAAGGCATGAGGACTTCAACTCCCAGAATTCCACAGCCAGCAACGCTGGCTGTGGAATTCTGGGAGTTGAAGTCCACATGCCTTAAAATTGTCAAGTTTGGGAAACACTGTTCTAAAGGCTTCCCACAAAATAAGTGTGTTAATTAAAATTAGAACAAGGCTTATAGAAAAAGGTGCAAAAGAAAGGGAAAAAATTATTTTAGAGAAATTGATTTCAGTCACTATCCCTTCAGTCAGATACTTCCCAGGTAAGTACAATATCTAATAAAAGCCTCACAGCTCAAATCATAGGCTCTAAAGAACAAACTAACTGATGTGCATCTACTCTTCTTTACTCATCCCTTACCTGTTCTATAATTCCCTATTCTCCTCCTTGGATTTCATTGGGTTGGGGTTTCCTTTCTTACCTAGCTTTTTCAGCTAGCCCTGAATATTCTCCTCCTTTTAGATAAAAAATCCATCTGAGGGGTTTTTACCTATTTGGATTGACTAGTCAGCTCATTTTTCTCTAACTGTGTAGTCTTCCCTGCAAGTCTAGAACACAATAAATGTTGAACCAACCAATCTGACCTTTATGAAGGGGTGTTGTCTAACATGAACGCCTTTTCTCAGTATGGAGATGGAGAATCCACCAATGGGTTTTCTCTGTTTGCCTGCTGTTGAGACCAAATAGCCAAACTTGACACGCCCCCTCTTGCTAGGAGATCCAGTCTTAACGAGGGCGAAGTGGCTGAAGGTGGACGAGGTGTTGGCTCTCAATCCCTTAAATTCAGCCTAACTGACCTAAAGGGTGGGTGTGGATTCTCCATCTCCGTACTGAGAAAAGGCGTTCAGGTAAGACGACACCCCTTCTCCAGTACAGGAGATGGAGAATCCACCAATGGGACATACCAAAGCCTCACTGTCCTGATGGGTGGGAAACAAATACGGCTGGAACAGTGTCCCCGGAGACCACCTGCTGAAGGACCCTCCGACCAAAGGAGGCGTCTGCAGAAGCGAAGTGGTCAATCCTGTAATGGCGTACAAACATAGAGGGCAAGGACCATGTCGCAGCCCTGCAAATCTCCTCGATGGCAGAGGTCGCAGCACTGCGAGTGGAATGGGCAGTAAGATGACTTGGAGCCGGCAGGGAAGAGGACGGCCGCGATACAGGCCCTGATCCACCTGCCAATAGTGCCAGCAGAAACCTTCTGTCCCAGAGAAGCCAGACGGAAGGAGATAAATAGGGCCTCAGATCTACGAAAAGGCTCTGTGCGCTTCCTGTAAAGCCGCAGTGCCCTGTGGACGTCCAGTGTATGCCACTGCCGCTCCAAGTCATGGGAAGGATTGGGGCAAAAATTTGGTAAAATGACTTCCTGTGCCCTATGGAAGAGCAAGTTGACCTTGGGCATGAAAGCGGGGTCCAACCGAAGGACCACCCGGTCGCTGTGGAAGATACAAAGGTCATTCCTGACCGATAGAGCAGGCAGCTCGGAGATACGTCTGGCCGACGTGATGGCGATTAAGAACACAACTTTAAGAGACAAGTTCCGCAACGGAATAGTAGCTATGGGCTCAAAGGGCGGTTTTGTTAGAGCGCGAAGCATGCGAGGCAACTCCCAAGAGGGGTACCTGTGTACCACGGGAGGCCTACTGTTCCATGCACCCTTGATGAAGGTGCGTATCCTAGGGTGATGAGCTAAGAGAACTGAATCCGCACAAGTGAGTAATGTTGACAGGGCCGCCACCTGTCTACGAATAGTCGCAGGGGCCAGGCTTCTGTCCAGACCATCCAGAAGATAATCTACGATCTGAGGGACGGTCAATTTATAAACATCCAGTTGACGCCTTCTACACCAATGGCAAAAAATTTTCCAAGTAGAATCATAGATGCGATTGGTCGCCGGGCGATGAGAGGCCTGAATCATGGTAATTGCGCGGGGGGGGGATAATTCTTGTGTCATGCTACGCTCAAGCGCCAGACAGTCAACTGTAACTATTGAGGGTCCGGGTGTTGAACGGTCCCCTGGTGTAAGGACACGCGATGTAGAGGAATCTTCCACGGAGGGGACTGGGAAAGATTCATCAAGTCGGCAAACCAGGGCCTCTGTGGCCAGTACGGGGCCACTTCTGCCTGCTCCTGGAGTAGCTTGTGGATGGTTGCTAGTATGAGTGGGAGGGGAGGGAAGGCATAGAGGAGACCTTGTGGCCACGGGGTCCGCAAGGCGTCCGTCCCCTCAGCCCCTGGAAGAAAATAGCGGGAGTAGTACCTGGGGAGTTGGGCATTGGTTGACGACGCAAACAGGTCGAGGATCGGATGTCTGAAACTGTGGGAGATCTCGGAGAACAGATCCAGATGTAACCCCCACTCTGAGGGGTCCACCGTAGAGCGACTCAAAAAGTCTGCCTGTTGGTTCTCAACCCCCGAGATGTGTTTGGCTCTGAGAGAGGCCAGGTTGGACTCTGCACAGGAACCCAGGAGCTGTGTCTCGGACATAAGGGACTTGGATCTGGTGCCTCCCTGACGATTGACATGTGCCTTGGACGCCACGTTATCCGTGAGGATCAGAACGTGACGGCCCCTGATCCAGTAGCTGAATTGGCGAAGAGCTAAGTGGATGGCCCTGAGCTCCAGCCAATTGATATTGTGTCTCAAGTCTGCGCGGGACCAGTGGCCCTGCGCAAACTGAGACTGTAGATGGGCTCCCCAACCGAATAGACTGGCGTCCATCGTAATGATGATGCGGTCCGATTCCTTGAAGGGTGATCCCTTGGTCACCGCTTGTGAGAACCACCAGTGCAGAGACCTGAGTATGTGAACCGAGAGCCTGACCTGACGGTTGGATGCTCTGGCATTCACCCGCTGAAATGGTAAGAGGAACCATTGGAGGTCCCGCAAGTGAAGCCTGGCCCAGGGAACTATGGCTATGCAGGAGACCATCTTTCCCAACAATTGGGAGAGTAAGACCAGTGGAACGGTACGGAACCTGTACACCCGACGAGCCAGATCCCTGATGCTGACCAATCGCTCCTGGAAGAGATGGACCATGCAGTTTGTGGTGTCTATGACGGCTCCCAGGTGCAGAAGCCAGGATAAGGGAACTGTCTGGCTTTTTTGAAAATTGACCAAGAAACCATGCTGAATGGTGAGTTCCAGGGCCACCTGAGCTGCCTGGACGGATGACGCTTGAATCAGGATGTCGTCCAGGTAACACTGGACGCATATTGGTACCTTCCTCAAGTGGGCGGCTAGTACGGCCAGGATCTTGGTGAACACCCTGGGTGCAAAGGAAAGGCTGAAAGGAAAGGCCTTTACTGTACTGGAAACGACTGCCCCTGTAACAGAACCCAAGGAACCGCCAGTGAGCTGGATGGATAGGGATGTGGAGGTACGCTTCCATG